TCTCCGCTCTGTTTGGCTAACAATTGTGGCTACTAGTCACAAGAAGCTACTAGGGGATCCTGGCCTTACTACTAGGAGCAAGGACGCTACTAGGGGCTTCTAGCATCGCTACTAGTAACGAGAAGCTACTAGTAATTGTGACCGCTCTGCTTGGTCACGTCGGTGTCAGACACTAAATCGCAATCAAACGCTCGCTGGCCGGCCGACCTTGGTCTCGCTCGCGCCCGGCCAACGGAGCGATATCCCTCCCATGGTGTCAAGGACAAGGAACGGTGCATAGTCTTGAACAAAAGCCGAGAAGAGGTCAAAGACCTGGCACTCTGTATCACCAAAAACTGTCGGATGACGCGCACTTCCCAGTGGCGCCCAAGTAGCGCCAAGAAATGAAGGAAAAAAGAGTCCTAAAAATGATCCAAGGCATTGACCCGGGCTTGTACTGGGACAGGTCACCTATTAGATCCTATTAGGCTTGCGCTGATGAAGGAAGTTGGACACATGCCTCATCATCTGTGACTGCAGCATCATCAGGGTCCAGCTGCAGCCTGGCCAATGACGCGCTGTGAAGCTACCCTATGCTCTACACTGGCAGATAGCGCAAGCAGTCTCTGCCTCCACAGAGGAGAGCTAGACGGGGTTCTGAGCTGTCCACCATCTAAATGAGGTTCTTGCAGAAACTAGACTGCTGCGCTTCAGGAAAGTACAGGCTGCTGTGTCCCTGTTGAGCCTCGAAGTCTCCAATTGGTTTGCCATTGAGCCTTGTTTCGTTAGTCCGCCGACTGTTTCGTTCGCTTCTTGGAACCAAGTCGTAGTCCTTTTTTCCGGTGCAACGAGCCAGGATCTCTGCAAGTAGAGGAAAGGTGCCAAAACCTGGACAAAAAGGTGCCAAGACCTTCGCAGGTTGTGTTCGTTTCGAAGGATGAAGACGTTTCCACCGATCGACCTGGCCAACGTGGTTCTTTCGCCTTTTGCGGGGTTTCCATGACGTCTTTTTGTAGGACCGAAAGAAGCACTCTGATGCTTGAGCCTTGTAACCCACCAAAGAACAAAAAAGGGCACCCTTCTCAGCGCGGCGCCTCATTCAGACCTTGCTTGTACTTCGTTTGCTGCGTCTGACACCAGCAGGTCAACATCGCCTGTGACAGTGGCCCCTCTAAGGTTTCAACCTGGTAGAGGGTCATAGGGGTTACGCCTGCTGGTGATTATGGAGATAAGCAAGGTAACAACTCATGTTGTGAACCAGCCACGAAGAAGAAAACTCAAAGGCTCAAACGATCTAACTTGAAAGTCCGGCAGTGTGTAGTCAAAGAGGTGGCTCAAACGCTCAAACATTGTGGATAGAAACTCTGAGCCAACGGCATAGACAGCATACGCAGGCACACGCAGGCACACTCTGTACTTGCGCGTCCCACCATCTCTTCCACCATCCCGCCACCTCCATCTTGTCCCGCACATGGGGCTGTCGAAAGTATTCCATGTCGGCCTTCGTGCGCTCACAGTCCTCACGCTCAGAGGCTAGAGGTCCGTATATGTTCTGCCAGCCGTAAGGGCGGCAAGCCCCAGAAAGCCAGAGGGCTATTGCAGGCTGTGCCAGGTCAAAGCTTTTCACATTCCACAGTGGCGTTACTCCTCCCCGTCCCTACAATGCATGGGATTCACGAAACGAACACACCTAGTATATTCATTCATATTCCTAGTATAAGGTTCAAAGCCAAGGAACATTTTGAAGAATGAGCCCTCACAAAAGAACAGAGCCCAGTCACGGTAGCAAATTTATGCTTTGACAAGGTCAGGTTGCAAACAACCTCGACAAGTATACTTGATGCTGCAGATCTGCAGATCCCAAGTCACCCACCTATCACACCAAGTCACCCACCTATCGATGCCCAGAAGTGGGCATGTAAACTCTAACTGTCGAGTATCTTAACTACTCAGACTTAGACGTCATAAAGATGCAACTTTAAGAAGTCTAAGAAGTCTTCTTTGCCCATTCTTTCTTTGTAGTAGGAACAATAAGCTACTAGGGGCTCCTGGCCTTACTACTAGGAGCAAGGACGCTACTAGGGGCTCCTGGCATCGCTACTAGTAGCAAGAAGCTAAGAATTAAGCGCTCCAACTCATCTCCCAACTGCAGCGACCCCACACAGACAGAACAGTCCGCTCGGATGACCCGTTGGTTCGGTTCCTCGACGGTTGGGTGCAGGACGTGGTACAGGATGCCAAGCCACACAGTTGGGTTAGATACATGCGAAGTGGTAAGCAAATTGTCTTTGGAGTTCTGTACAAATGCGATGAAAATCGTTCGATTCGACATTGTCTTCATGAGCATCCGACATTGAGGGCAACTTTCCAGCTGCTAAAGCATCTTGACACACCTCGCACCAGAATTGGGAGGAACCGACAGGTCTTCATGTCTTTTGTTCGCCAGCTTTGTGACAAAGAGGCAAACGACCGGATACAGAAGAAGCATGAAGAAACCATCGAAACCTCAGACTTTGGATAGAACTGGCTTCAATAGAGACACTGTCGGACAGAGAGGAACCAGGACTCACACTTTCGGACAAGGCTGAGAAACCTTGCAAGTCGTCTGCAACACTGCTCCGAAGAGTATTCCACCTGTTGATCCAAGGAGTCTTTGCCACCAGAAATGGAGGCGGCCACCTTGCAACACACATGGCTGGCACGGATAAAACACTGCTGGAACACATACACAGAGAGAGAGAGAGAGGCAAAGCCAGAATGGACTCCATGGACCGCGGAAATTCATCTGTTTCCTCGTGGACAGATTTGGTCGCTTTGCTCAAGTAAGAAAGAACTTTTTTTTGGCCATAGCGACTCTGACTACTTTGCCACCTAAAAATTGAAATGGGTGAAGCACATCGGTGATGAAGCTGGCAGCCTGCAACATCAATTTCGGGGGCACCGCTGTTTTTACCGATGTGCGAATCGCAACACGGCAAAGTTCTCGCTACGTAGGTACAAGTATCGAAAGACTTCCTCGCGAGGTAAAATGAGGCAGGCAAAGATTCTGTGCACCTTGAAATAGTCCCTATTTAGATATATAGTTAGTCCTTCAAACAAGGGATGCGGTCAAGCTGCGAACCCTCAACAAGCAAGCTCAGCGAGCAAACCAAAGCCAAGAACATGTGCTCGCCTATCTGGGCCCTGGTCTCTGTAGGAAAGTCATAACCATCCTGGCATATTCAGAGCAACTCTTCGAGCCTCCTGAGCCCAACATCCAAATTCGGAGCTACTAGTAGAAATGCCCTTGTTACTAGTAGTAATGCCAGGAGCTACTAGTAGCGTCCTTGCTCCTAGTAGCGATGCCCTTGTTACTAGTACAGTAGCTTCTTGTTCCATGGGCATGATGTGCACATGCAAAAGTTCAATCAAGTCAGCTGAGATGAGAAGAGCTCCTACAAGGGATTCAAGCACGATGTGTTCAAAATATCCATGTGATCCGCAATAGAGTTGACCAATCACGGTTTGCCTGTCATTCAAAGGTGGTCTCCAAAATACAGGTATGGTAACTCGGTGTAACTAGGATGCGCCGTCTAGGTTCTGGCAATCTGTGGAGCAGGAGGGACAAAAGATCAACTACAGTCATTGACACACATGGAAGCTCAATCCTGTCATGAGAACAAATTTAATCTACCACCAAACCATAAAGTGCTCGCTGACAAAGGGGTCATTGCTGGATTAACTACAACCGAAACTCTGAGAAAGGTACAAAGCCTGCCCATCTGAGACAAAACATGCTAGGTGCAAACCCGTGCTTGCTGCATGCATGGCCAGGACGGTCAAAGGTTTCGGCACAACCCAGGAACCCAGGAAATCCACACAAGGACTGTGCCCAATGACAGGAACAACATTGAAAAAGCCTGTGCCCAAAGCACGAAAGACCCAACAAAAGGAGCTCGAGAAGATTATGATATTGACAAAACTGTAGCTTTATGGTTATGTTCATAAAACTATGCATGGACTTATGTTGGTGCGCTGGAAGCATCCTTGCAACTTGCTAGAATCTCTGTCCCTCTCATATCTATCTATCTATCTGTCTGTCTATCTGTCTATCGATCTATCGCTCTATCGATCTATCCATCTATCCATCAATATATACAAATATCTCTCTCTCTCTCTTTCCCCCTCCTTCCCTCTCTCTCTCTCTCTCGCGTGTGCTCATTGTGTAACATGCTGTCAGCTTGTGTTTTCTTGCTTGGTAAGGAATCAGGAATGGCAGCACCGATCAGAAAGGCAATTGCAACCACACGCATAAAATATCTTCTAGGATTGCAGGGTCCAGGTCAGAAATAGACATGGATATCCAGGCATGAACCACATCTGTTTCTTGACAAATGCATGTGCCATAATAAGCTGCTCGTGATGAGAAAAGTGTATAATTACTACAGTAATTACTGTCAAAGCAATGCTGAGACTGAGATTTTTTAAGTGTCCATCGGCTCAAAGCATTCAGCCCTTTGGCTTGATCCTTCTTTGCTGCATCGCCGCCTGCAACCAAGGGTTCACATGCAGGATGCCAGCTTTTGCGCTTAGCTTCAAGAAAATCTCTCAGACGCGAACCAAATCTTATGTGGCACCAAACTTCAGCACAACCAAGCAAGTGCCCACAAATGACTGTTGGCCCTAAAAAGGATTGTAAGATTGTAACCGTAGAAAAACGGGTCACAAATACAAGTTGTCCTATTCCAACATGGCCAAACGTGGAGCTTCGGTACCAGCCTCCTTCTGCCTGGAAACCTTTTGGTTCTCTGGAATCCAAAATCGGTCCGGGTTTCGCCTTGGACGTGTGAAGTTCAGCCATGTGGTTGCGTTCCACATTTCCACAGGCGCAACCACGGGAAGAACCACGGGTGTTCTCGAAGTCGATGTGTGACGTGTGCTCTGCGGAGGACATGTGTGACGTGTGACTTTGGTGAGGATGCAGTCCCAACGATGTGAAAATGCAGCACCTTCACCAGCAAAATGTTGGCTCTGACCCAAGCCAAAGACCAAACAAACTCCATCAAATTCCAAAATTTTTTCTTGTGCGGATGGCTGTGATCTCACCAGCTTGGAATCCCTCCGCAAGAAATGAACAAAGAGTCCAATGTTCGTCTTCTATGTCCAAGGTCAGGACTGCTTCTCGCTGGAATGCGGATACCGCACGTACAGCAAATTGTGGAAGACCTGCCTTGGGGTAAAACATACGGCACTCAGCTCTTTGGCGCCTCGAAACCGCTCAAACCATAGCTCCATCACTCGGTCCCAATCTAGAAGGCCTTCTCGATAGAGAGGGAACCAAGCGACAAGATGGCCCGAAAGGATTGCAGGAGTACGAGGATGAGTAAGAATCCAGCAAGAAACCCAAAGTTCGACATGATGTGATGTGATGACGTGGTGTGCTTCGTGATGTTGTTGTCACGAAGCAGGATAGCAACGATGATGGTTGTGACAACGTGTGCGTGAGGGTGTGTGTGCGCACGAATTGTTAGTTATAAAAACCAGGGTGAAGATCACGACAATGATTTGAATATATCATATCCGTACCAAGACTCTCCACAAAAAGCATCCACATCACCGACCTGATTTGGCCAGGCCATCTGCAGTTTAGTAGCAAGTAGTAGATGCAACCACCAAGCATCCCGCTCACACTGTGTTTACACACACAAGTTTCCCTCTCCCGAATGGCACAGAGCCACGCAAACGCACTGTCCACCCAGGCTTTGCCAAACAGCATGGCACAGCGACACCCTGTGCCACTTCCTGCACGCAACAATGTAAGACAAAAACAGTTTCACACTTTCACATCCCAAGCGCCCATTCGTCCATCTTCGACTCATACCTTGACATCGCAGTCATTCACTTTCACTTCGTCATCGAATGTTTTCGACCGACAACAAGTTCACACTTTGTCATCGCAATCATCGTGTTTTGACGACCGTTCCACACATTCATTTTCAAGGAGCGCTTCACACTTAATCATTGCTAATATCAGCTTTCGACAGTCTCACATTTTGAACATCGGACAGTCACGACCCCTGTAAAGGGTTACCCGAAGCTGCAGTTTCGCGCATCCGACATGCACGACCTCCACAGAGGGCCATGCTTGGATGAACCGGGCTACCCCGCCAAGCTGCCTTGAGGGGACTTCTAAAGAATGTCGAAGTTGTAGGCGTATTGAGTAGTTCTTTACATATGTATTTATCCGCCTGTATTTATGCACTTGCATTACTACGCCTGTATCAGTACACCTGCATCTCTACACCTGTGTTTGTACACTGTGCTTTTACACGTATGTGCCTGTCTCTTCGCGCTTGTATTGAAACACATGTATCGCTGCACCTGAACGTAAGCACAAGTATCTTTTTGCACCTGTTAAACTCCACACATTGTATATACATGCACCTGTATCTATAGTTTGGTCCACATCGGCAATACACCTGTATCTCCACATGATAATGCTACTGCAGATGTTTGATGACGATGACGATGATGATGTTTCTTTACGAAGAACCCTTCGCAGGAGCTTTCAGTAAAACCGTTGGTAAGGGCCCCGTTCAAAAGGCCCCCTTCCAATTTTGTCTCTATCTAGAAGGCTGCAGGTGTTACGTGGTGTCTCCACATTGGATCGCGGTCGAATTTTGGATCTTGACAAGCCAAGTTGGGGTGCAGCGGTTCAGACAAATGTCATCAGGAACCGCTTTGAAACGCAAAATTTGCATTTAATTCATCAGGCTCACTGGTGCGTCATCGGTTCCTGAGAAAATCAAGCCCAAACTTTTTTATTGGCCTGACTAAAGGTCAGAGTAGGGCTTGATTTTCTCACTTCTTGCAATTTGCACCAGTGTCCGTCCAAGTGATCGTCGCAGGATTGACGCGGGGAATAAGGCTGGTATCAACCGGCCAAATTGATCAATAGATCTGTCATGAGAAACCTTGAAAGACTGGGAAAGCGTGAACGCAAGCTGCAAGCATGTCACAGGCTGCACAAGACTTCACCAGGTTCTCAATCACAGTTCTATGCACAGCTTTCCCAGATATTTTGTCCGCTCTCCATACATAGGAAGGAGGCAGGAATCAATGGCCAGTGCATGGGCACCACATGACGCGTTCAATTTGCAGTATCACTTGATGAAAAAGTCGAGCTGCCGCCGCTCCCGTCCAGTGGCTCAACCATCAATGGTCTGGAAAGACCCAGCTTTTATCGTTGAAGCGACTGAAAGAGCAGGCAGCGGAAAGATGCTAGAAAGTTAGGTGATCTTCACATTAAAACAATGCACTTAGACAGCTTTGCTTTGAGCTCCGCGCACGTTGCCACGTCGGAGCTCGTCTTTTTTCTGTCTAAGGTTGGGACGGGAACATGGTGGGTTGGACTACAAACCATTGAACCTGCTAGTTCGAACCAATGCTAATTTCGAAAAGAAGAGCACGTCCAACCCTGAGAGGAGTTGCCAAACCAACCCTGAGAGGTTTCACCAACCCAGAGAGGTTTTACCAACCCTTTCTTTCATTCGTCCACCACGGAGTGGACCACGTTCCTGGGCTGAGAGGAGTGACGTTCGTGTGGTGGGTCGGGCCTCCAGGGAGTAGAAGCTCTTTTGGTGTCAAACAAAAGGTTCATGGTCAATTTGGCCAGTACATAGCAATGTTGACATTTTTTCGGAAAAAGGAAAACACATGTAGGCGGCATGTAGGCTAGTACCCTGATCTCCAGGCTTGTGCTCGAAGTGCTAGCAAGCATCATTCAGCATCATTCACGCGTCCCTGCGAACGGGGCGGCGAATGAAGCTTTGCAGGAACCAACTGGGTCGACGTGACAGGTCCTTTTTAATTCGTTTCAAGTTGTTTTTTTAAAGGCTCCGAAAAGACTTAAAAAGTTCAAACGTTTAAATCAGATCTTGCATAATTCTTTATTTTTAATACTCTAATAGTCTATATGTTTTAACTAATAAATTTTTTAAGGCTCCAAAAAGCAAAAATTAAAACAAATCTTTCATATGTCTTGATGTTTAGTTCTTGTCAGGCTCCGAAAACATTGATAAACTGTTCCTGCAACTTGTTGCGAGCAGGAACGCCACCCACGCCGACCCAGTTTACGACTCTTCGGCCTTTGGAAGATCATCCTGAAAGGTGGCATCAAATCTCGAATGGCAAGCGCCTGTTCAGCCTAAGAGGTCACACTGCTGGCATTGTACTATGTCAATATGCATAATATGTGTGGCTGCAAAACTCTTCGTCCAACCGTATGCAATCACTTTGCATTGGAAGGGCCCAATTGAACTATATGCTTTGCACTTCAGCCTTTACACAAAGGTCCATCCATCATGTTTTAGTAGTGCATTCCTTTTGGGGGCCAACACTTCCGGTTGAAGGCAGTTCAAGTATTCTGCTTTATATACCGTGTTTTGACCGTTGCTCAAATAGGGTGCTGTCTGATTACTGAATCACCAAGCTCTTAAGGGTGAAAATAACAAAATAGATCATTAGCCCTAGAGAGGAGGAGCAGAAGGAGCAGAAGGTTTCATGGGGTCAAGGGATGTAAAGGGCAGAAGCAATTGCCATCGACCGCAGGTTGGGTCCAAGCCCGACAGCCAGCAAGGCCAGATGAAAGGGGACATCTATCCCAAGCCGCTCATGGGACAGTGCCAACTGCTGGTGATTGTTCGACAAACCGAAGGAGCTGATGAAAAATTAAGATACCAACGATGATGAGAAATCAACATTGATGGTGGCGCAATGCGCAGGGTGAAGCATATTACAAACAACACCAGTGCTTATTTCCTACAAGAAAAGCATTCCATCAGCCCAGCTTGAGGCCAAGTTGCTCCACGAACCGTCCGGCCTGCAAATTGCTGCAGGAGATCTTGGAACTGGGGGATGTGTTGTCCACTCTCACACTTTTGACAAGATGAGGCATGTGAGTCTTGACGAGCAACAAACCTACGAAGCTGGCAGTCTATAAAAAGGAACAGAGGTATTGCCGTATTGCTCAATGTTTCACCCTCACCTGCAGCGCTCCACAGCTTGTCTCCTACGCAAATTCCAGCGGTCTCAGCCAGACTTCCGGGAGTGACCTGTCACCAGCCCCAACAGCGGCCGGCGTTGGACGTCCAAAAAGAGGTTCACAGCTGGAGAGCAACAAATTGAAAGTAGGAGGAGCAAAGCGTAAGGTAAGGTTTGATTGTTTCATCTGGTTTGTCTCTCTTCTTTGCACATCGACTCTTCTTCAAGCCTTTTTCGCATCAACCCCTTGTAGTTGATGAAGCATGATGCAGTGCGGCAGACCAGCGAAAACTCACATGGGTCAGGCCCGGCTTCACCATCATCTTTAATACCTACTTGCAGTGTGTATATATATATACAGTATAGTTATAATATAGATCCAGTAGATTCAAATAGATAGATCCCAGGTAGAAAATGTGAAACCGTGCCGCGGTCATTCGTGAGGAGCACATTCACAGAGTCTCATAGAGTCCCCATCAGCCAACATTCGTTGGATTTCAAAAGGTGTACTAGCCGTACTAGCCAGCAGTGTCTAAACAAAAGGAAATGTTTACTATTGTCTATTGTACTTTTTCTGAATCTTTTTGACCATTTGCGACTCATTGCTACAAACTGCTGAACCTGCTCGTGGAACATGTGTCAAATCCCAAATTCACCTTTGGCCTTCACCACGTAGATGTCCCCATCGCGTTCGACCATGTCGAGATCAATACCGAAGGGTTTGGACTCCACGGTGAATCGTACCTCGCATCTTACTCGGCCCAAAGGGCTTGCTGCTGCTGCAGGAAAGGACATGTTCTTCTTCCAAAACAATATCTACTGAGATATTGGCAGCATCACCTACGCGTACGACTCATATGATATAATCGCTATCCAAGAAATAGACTGTGCGGGCATGCCAGCTTGCTGCGCTAATAACACTCCGACTCACGTTCCATGGAAGTTGTGCAAGTGGATGGCATGGCCCCGTTGGATGACTACTCCTCTACAAACAGGTGGTTTTTCCACTTCCATGGAACGTAAGTTAAGCTCTTACGTGGATCTCTGATTCCATGCTTTGTCCAGATTGTCCAGATTTACAAGCGCAAAATCAAATGAGTCTGTTCATCAAAAAAAAGAGTAGACCAAAGTTGCGTTCTGTCTAAGAAACCCCACGGTTTAACTGTTTAACTCCCTGCAAGCAAGGAACCACTCTGGACTTCCTTACTTGCTGGCGCCAGGAAGCAAATTGGCCCAGCTGGAGACCCCAATAGCAAGATACAAACCGGGACAAAAAGAAAAATCTGGAAACAGCTGCTGTTTTCAACACATCGACCATCTCTTCCTTGGACACCATCATCACATAACCGGGACACCGTCACAAAATGACCAGGGCACCATCAAAACATGACCGAGACACCGTCACAACATGACTGGGACACAATCAAAACATGATCAGGACACCATCACAACATGACCGGGACACCATCACATGACCGGGACACCGTCACAACATGACCGGGACACCATCACATGCCTGGGACACAATCACATGAAACATGACCGGGACACCATCAAAACAGGACCGGGACACCATCACAACATGACCGCGCCACCATCACATGATCGGGACACCATCAAAACATGACCGGGACACCGTCACAACACGACCGGGACACCATCAAAACATGACCGGGACACCATCACATAACCGGGACACCATCAAAACATGACCGGGACACCATCACAACATGACCGGGACCAAAACATGACCCGGACACCATCAAAACCTGACCGGGACACCATCACAACATGACTGGGACACAATCAAAACATGACCGGGACACCATCACAACATGACCGCGCCACCATCACATGATCGGGACACCATCAAAACATGACCGGGACACCGTCACAACACGACCGGGACACCATCAAAACATGGCCCGGACACCATCACAACATGACCGGGACACCTTCAAAACATGACCGGGACACCATCACAACATGACCGGGACACCATCAAAACACGACCGGGACACCATCAAAACAGGACCGGGACACCATCACAACATGATTGGGCCACAATCAAAACATGATCGGGACACCATCAAAACATGACCGGGACACCAGCATCACATGACCCGGACGCCATCAAAACATGACCGGGACACCATCCGCCCACCAGCTCTGACGGTGACCCGACGGCGCCCGTCCGCCTATTAGTTTTGCAAGACCCCATAGCATGGCTATTGGGGAAAAATTCCAATTGGCTGCATCACACTGGTGTCACAAACGTGCTCTGCTCTAGCTAGGTTTTCCCATCAAGCAACGGTCAGCCACATTTTCTCCAAATGATTTCTCGAACCCGCAAGCGAATGTCGCTATCCGGAGCTGGAGCCTTGTTCGAGTCTTGGAGCTCTAAAGGCATATGTTTTTCAGAGCATGCTCTGGTCAACCACCAAACCATAGACATGTGGTAGACCCTTTTTCTGTTCAAGATGGGTCTACCTGGTAGAATCCCAAGCAGTCTTGGTCTTGGCTGCACTTGCAACAACAGTGCACTCCATGATCTCATCGGGCGCAAAAATTGACGGCGACTGGGTTTGCAGCTGATAATTTCATTGAGAATGTCGAGGCACTTTGGTTTCCTTGCTGGGCGATAACGGCAGGGCACCTGCAGCAGTCAACATGGAGGATGAAAAGCCAACGCGCTCAAAAGAGATGCAAGAACGTTCATGCCTCATAGATTGCATGAGTTCAAGCATCTATTGTCGGAAGTACACTAGGTGTTCGAGTCATGCCCTAATTGAGGGACGACAAACAAAAACATGCATGGCAGCTGATGATGTGTACCAGGGTTCGGTTATTCACAGCTCTTGCAGAAAATCACATGTCAAACTGTCACTCCGCTGCCTCTACATTGAGAGATCGGAGACATCCTGACTCTGAAAAAGGCCATCCGGTCATTTTAAACATTGCAGAAATACAGCAATTATGCCACTTGCCGTAACACTGCATCCTGTCGTTCAAGCATCTGGTTTTTGCGAGTCTTTCACAAGTTTGCTTCACTTTGAGAACTATATGCCGCATGCCTAGGCTAAGCTCGCTAAATCCTTTAGCGACGATCTATTTGCAAGACACCAAGCAAAACGCAAAAAGTCAGAACGTGAGAAAAGTCAAAAAGTCAAAAAGGTAAAGGAAACAAAAGCACGCAGCGAGACTTTTCGATGTTTCGATATTTTTGGACACCAGTCACATGCCGTGCCCTTCAACAAAAGTCTAGCAGAATTGATCCAAACGTTGCTTCTGCTTTTGCTCCTACAGACAGAGAGAGGATCTGGAGGTCAAAACACGCAGCCCCGATGACCTTCAAAAAGAGACGCCCGCCAAAAGGACCCGGCAAGCCCCGGGACCTTTTGGCGGGTGACTCTTTTTATCATCGTTCCCTTTTCGTGCACTTTTCGACTTTTCGCGACTTTTCGACTTTTCGCAAAAAGTTCGGAGAGCAAGTAGATCCAGCTCATACATTTAGCAACCACTGCCTTTTCCACGCCCCACAATACTCTTTAACCTCCCGGAGCCTCGTGCATTCATGACCAATTCCCTCTCGCAGTTTCTGGTTGCCCCGATCCCTTGATTGGAGTCACAACTGATGTCTTTTTCCGCGCTGATGTCCTCGATTCTTCTTGTGCTGTTTTACTGCAGAATCGTCAGTCTCCTCTCCTTAGTTTGCCATTTTGCAGTGGTTCTTTTCCAGCTAAGGATACGAACGATACTTGCACTGTTCATTGTATGAAGTGGTTTAGTTTGTTTCGAGCGAAATGAAAAATGGAACCTCTGGGGAAGTTTTTTGATTCATGTTTTCACAAGTTCTCGCAACACTCCCTGACATCACCATTCACGTTGATGCGCTTGGTGCATATACATCTGCGGCATCTGCCAAGACTGTCTCTTTCTTGAGGTGCACTTCGGCCTAAGTCGGCTTCAGAGCGGCGAACACTTGACGTCACACGTCAAGAACAAAGAGAAGCGCTCCCACCTGCAAGGATGTTCTTTTTTTCGGAAGAGCGTGAAACAGAAGTCCAGAAGAATTAACTCTGAAGTTAATGCTTGTACATGTGTGTGTGTGTCACTTCTGCGCTCATGCCAAAGAATTAAATCGAGAGTTGGTTATAGCAAGCGGATTGTCATTTTCCCACGTCAATGTGTGAGCTGGCAGAATTGAATCTGGAGTTAATTCTTTGTAATACGGCGCATGTCCACACTACTGCTTCGGACAATGGGCGCCAGGAATCAAATCCAGAGCAAATTCTTCGTTTTCAGAGATCTGGTGGAGGAGTCATGTATATATATATATATCACCAGTTAAATTTGTGGCAAAGAAGTCAGTGATCACAGGCTTTGCCTTGATATCACCAAGGTCGCTTTCTGATGCCTTGCGATCTTTCAATGGTGATATTCCTGGTGGCCCTATTGGGAGCCCCTAGTGAGGGATTAAATCAAGAGTTAGCACTTCGATATGCGCAGAAGAGTACGTGCAGAGGCTTTGGTTGTAAAACTACCTCTTGGCTTATGTTTTTTTAACTCTTCTGTTCACGCCTTTTCGTTCTTCTTTCAGCTGTAACACTGGTAGCAATAGTCGCCGCCGCCACCGCCGCCGCCGTCGTCGTAGTAGTTGTTGTTGTTGTTGTTGTCGTAGTCGTAATCGTAGTCGTAGTCGTAGTGGTAGTGGTAGTGGTAGTAATCGTCGTCGTAGTAGTAGCAGTAGTAGTAGTAGGAGTGGCAGTGGTGGTGGTGGTGGTGGTGGTGGTGGTGGTGGTGGTACTGTAGTTCGGTTGTGGTGGTGGTGCTGGTAGTGCCGGTAGTGCTGGTGGTAGTAGTAGCAGTAGTAGCAGTAGTAGCAGTAGCAGTAGCAGCAGTAGCAGCAGTAGCAGTAGTAGCAGTAGTAGCAGTAGTAGCAGTAGGAGCAGTAGTAGCAGGAGTAGCAGTAGCAGTAGCAGTTAGCAGTAGCAGTAGCAGTAGCAGTAGCAGTAGCAGTAGGAGTAGTAGTAGTAGTAATAGTAGTAGTAGTAGTATGGTAGTAGTATAGTAGTAGAAGAGGAGCAGCAGCAGCAGCGGCAGTGAGCTAAGTAGTAATTAGAAGCTGCTACATGCGCGGACATTGTGTTGTAGAACAATTTCAATTTCACTCGTTGGCATTATCAACTTGCCTGCAGCATCTTTCCCACTCAGCGACAAAGATGTGCAACGATCCCCAATGATCCCGCTATTTCCGTGACATGCCTTGACCGATCGCTATCCTCATTCAGCCAACTGATCACAATCCAATCACTTGCTGTGTCCCTGCCTGCTCCTCAGCGAGCAAAGCTACTGGTCCAACTTGAATCGGGCACATTGATGGTCCAGATCTGCAGTCGCGTGTCAGCTGTGAGATGCGTGTTGGTCTCTTATTCTGTGCAGAAATGCATGGCCCGTGATATCCACCAAAGATCTATCAAGCAACCCCTCTGAGTTCCGAAAAAGGACCACAGCACGGCAAGCCTGTACGAGGTCAGGAAGAGGTTCAGCTCGCCCAAAGAACAGCTTGAGCCACAAATGGATCCGGAAGAAAAGACATAGAAAGAAACTGAAATAAAAGGGATGAAAAAGAAGGGAAGGGGGAAGGGAAGGGAAGGGAAGGGAAGGGAAGGGAAGGGACGGGAAGGGACGGGAAGGGATGGGAAGGGACGGGAAGGGACGGGAAGGGACGGGACGGGAAGGGACGGGAAGGGACGGGGAAGGGGACGGGGA